TTTTTTTTTTTTTTTTTTTTTGAGACAGAGTTTTGCTCTTGCCCAGGGTAGAATACGATGGCTGGTCACTGCAAACTTTGTCTCCCAGGTTCAAGCAATTCTCCTGCCTCAGCCTCCCAAATAGCTGGGACTACAGACATTCGCCCACACACCTGGTTAATTCCTATTTTTAGTAGAGACCGGGTTTCACCCCCTTGGCCATGACTGGTCTCGAACTCCTGACCTCAGGTGATCTACCCACCTTGGCCTCCCGAAGTGCTGGGATTACAGGCGTCAGGCACTGCGTCTAGCTTTGAAGTGCACTTTCTTTGAAATACCACGTCCTCTCATTTCTCACCATAAACTCCCTTACACTGCAAGTGTACCTAACTGCAGGCGTGTATCTAATTATGTGATTACTTCAAAGTTCCAGGAGGTAACCTTGAGACAGACCAAGCACAGAGATCCACTTGCAAAATCCCAGAGAATTCCTTAAGGCCATCTGTAACCCCACCCTTATGAGGATGAGGCCAGCCCACACTTTTAACCTCCAAAATTTATGAGCACACAGAGCTTATACTCAGCACCTGTCCTGCACACCCACCCTTCCAAGTGCCCCCTTGTTAGCCCCTCACCTTAGTCGAAAGTTTAAAGCGGGTTTCTGGAAGCCTATGCTGGCTGCTTCCCCATGACGAACTTCAAAAACGAAGTCACCTTCCTTTCACTGCAGTTTTTCCTCCTTGCTTGTTTGTCAAACCTCGGGCATCTGAGCCTGAGCTGTTTACAACCAGGCATTGTCTCTTTGTGTGGAGAGGGGATGACAAATACCCTCCCGTGGAAAACCACTTGGTTAGGCCGGGCGCGGTGGCTCACGCCTGTAATCCCAGCACTTTGGGAGGCCAAGGCGGGTGGATCATGAGATCAAGACATCGAGGCCATCCTGGTCAACATGGTGAAACCCCATCTGCACTAAAAATACAAAAAATCAGCTGGGCATGGTGGTGCGCGCCTGTAATCCCAGCTACTCAGGAGGCTGAGGCAGGAGAATTGCCTGAACCCAGGAGGCGGAGGTTGCGGTGAGCTGAGATTGCGCCATTGCACTCCAGCCTGGGTAACAAAAGCGAAACTCCGTTTCAAAAAAAAAAAAAAAAAAACCCACTTGGTAAAACTTGTTCAAATGGAACCACTAACAAATTGCCTATAAAATGTGCATGTTTTGGTGAAACCCCTTCTCTCACTTCTATTATTATTATTATTATTTAACCTAAATATTATTTATTGAAAAGAGCAAAGAAAGAGTGCTGACCCCTTAGGGACAGGATGAAACAAAAGCAGCTCTGCAAGTCTGCCTCCTGCTCAGCATACAGGCTTGTTGCCCCCTTGGGCCATCTTGTTGTTGATGGGCATCTTGAAGAAGTTAACAGACTGGATGGAGGCGGCGCTTTTCTCCAAAGCCTCAAAACGGCACATGAAAGCCTTCAGGTTTGGGAACTCATCCAGGCACTTGGGCTCAAACATACGGTTCTGATCCAAGGTATCACAGGTGAGAAAGTCCACATAGGTGAGCTTTTCCCCCCTCGCAAACCAATGAGAATTTCCCCAAAAACATGGAGGAGTGTTTCAGTTGTCCAGGTAGCTGCTCCAAGTACTGAGGCTTCAGTGTTTCGCGGTCAGAGCTGTAACAGAGCTTTATCAGCTGTATGCGGAAATCCATTACTTGGTTCTCTACGATGTCCACTTGAATCTTTTCTTCTTCAGTCTCTCCACCCATGTCGTGCTTCGAGCGGTCCAGCAAGATGGCATTGCTCTGGGTGATCTTGTTCTTTCCATCCAGGAGGTAGGGCAGATTAGGAAACTCCAAGTCCAGCCTGATTTTCACATCCAGCCATTGGCTTCGATCATAGTCAGGAGCTTCCCCGCACATGTAACGTTTCTCCTCGTAGGAGGTATCCGTGAACTCCAGGAGCAGGCCGACCGCAAATATCCCAGTACACCAGAACCATCGACGACTCGCACGACATGATGCTAGCTTGCTAGCCTTCGAGGACTCTATTATCATTATTTTTTTAAAGACGGGGGTTTGAAGCAGGCGCTGCGGCTCCCGCCTGTAATCCCAGCACTTTGGGAGGCTGAGGTGGGTGGATCACCTGAGGTCAGGAGTTCAAAACCAGTCTGGCCAGAATGGTGAAACCCCCATCTTAATTTATTTTATTTTATTTTATTTATATTTATTTATTTATTTATTTTGAGACGGAGTTTCGCTCTTGTTACCCAGGCTGGAGTGCAATGGCGCGATCTCGGCTCACCGCAACCTCCGCCTCCTGGGTTCAGACAATTCTCCTGCCTCAGCCTCCTGAGTAGCTGGGATTACAGGCACATACCACCATGCCCAGCTGATTTTTTGTAGTTTTAGTAGAGACGGGGTTTCACCGTGTTGACCAGGATGGTCTCGATCTCTTGACTTCGTGATCCACCCGCCTCGGCCTCCGAAAGTGCTGGGATTACAGGCGTGAGCCACCGCGCCCGGCCCCATCTTAATTTATATATATATATGTATATTTAAAATGTGGGTTTCACCATGATGGCCAGGCTGGTCTTGAACTCCTGACCTCAGGTGCTCCGCCTGCCTGGGCCTCCCAAAGCGCTGGGATTACAGGCGTGAGCCACCGTGCCCAGCCGTGAAACCCCTTCTCTACTAAAAATACAAAAACTAGCCGGAAATTGGTTGAACCTGGGAACTGGACGTTGCAGTGAGCTGAGAACTGAACTCTAATCTGGGTGACAGAGTGAGACTCTGTCTCAAAAACAGAAAAAGAAAAAAAAAGGTGTGCATGTTTGGCCCAGGAGATGCCAGAGGTGTCCTTCACCTGCGGTACTGATGGGAAAACTCAAGCCTGAACGGGGCCCAGTCCCCAGATCCGGAGTTCAGTAACAGGCAGAACTGGAACTTGGCCCCGTCCCGGTCTCAGAGGATGGGTGTCGTGTCCCCCGCTTCTACTTCATTCTCCCCACTCTGCTGACTTCCCAAAAACCCCTGGGTTCCGAGATTTCCCACGCCGACTGACGGGATTCGAACCGGTAAACTCAGAGCTCGCTCAGCCCAGCGGCCCCGCCCCGCCCCGCCCCGTCCCGTCCCCGGAAGATCATGTGAGCGCAGTGCGGGCGGGGAGGCGGAGCGACGGGGCGGCGCGCAGTCCAGGCTGGGAATTGCAGTCCTGACCCCACCTTTGCCTCGCGCCGACCCCGCCCCTGGAACTACGCTCCCGTCGTGCTCCGCGGCTCCAGGCGGAGACGAGGCGGGGCAGGCCGGTTGCTAAGACTTGGCGAGGCGAAGCGCCCGCGCCCGCGTCCCTCAGGTAAGCGCGCGCGGCCCCGAGGTCTCAGGCTCTCTAGGCTTAGGCTCCCATGGGGGGAGAGTAGGGGTGGACATGGGGACTTCTCGGCGGTGAGGGGCGCCGGCCGTCCGTCGGGCGAAAATGAGGGGCTCGGGCCAGCCTCACGCGCGTCTCGGGTGGCGGGTGGGCGATGTGGGGAGGCGGCGCGGCTGCGCGTGCGCGCGAGCCTGGCGGGGACGGGGGGCCTCAGGGCGGCGTTGCCCCGGGCCCAGTGCCTTTCTGCGCGTGCGCGCCCCTACGGCCTGGGCGGAAGACCCCGTGCGCTCCAGCTGCTTCCGGTGGCCCTGCCCCAGGTCATGGCCGCCAGTCCCCTGCCTTCGGACTGCAAGCTCGCAGGTTTCCTCCGCCTTCGCGTCCCGCCTCCCCAGCTCGGGTTTGCCTTTAGGTGGAGATTCTCCCAGTCCTTTGCACATCCCCAAATTGACCATCATTCCTCATCGTTACCTAGACTGTGGGTTTTTAGGGTTTTACTATCACGCGGCGCCCCAGTTCTCTCCCACGCCCTACCCCGATGGCCGAAGTTCCTCGCTGTCATGCAGAGAAGGCTTCCTTGTAGGGTGGCCAGAATCCACGCCACGGAAACAGGGATGGCCGGACGCGGTGGCTCATGCCTGTGACCCCAGCACATTGGGAGGCCAATGAAGGTGGATCACTTGAGGTCAGGAGTTCGAGACCAGCCTGGCCAACGTGGTGAAATCCCGTCTCTACTGAAAATACAAAAATTATGCCGGGCGCGGTGGCTCAAGCCTGTAATCCCAGCACTTTGGGAGGCCGAGGCGGGTGGATCACGAGGTCAAGAGATCGAGACCATCCTGGTCAACACGGTGAAACCCCGTCTCTACTAAAAATACAAAAAATTAGCTGGGCATGGTGGCGCGTGCCTGTAATCCCAGCTACTCAGGAGGCTGAGGCAGGAGAATTGCCTGAACCCAGGAGGTGGAGGTTGCAGTGAGCCGAGATCGCGCCATTGCACTCCAGCCTGGGTAACATGAGTGAAACTCCGTCTCAAAAAAAAAAAAAAAAAAAATACAAAAATTAGCCGGGCGTGGTGGTGCGCGCGTGTAATCCCAGCTACTCTGGACGCTGAGGCAGGAGAATCGCTTGAACCCTGGAGGCGGAGGTTGCTGTGAGCCAGATTGGCCCACTTGCATTCCAGCCTCGGCAACAGAGTGAGACCCTGTCTCAAAATAAGTAAATAAAATACATGGGTGTAAACAGACAAGTCCCAGGCCGGGCGAAGTGGCTCACGCCTGTCATCCCAGCACTTTGGGGGCCGAGGTGGGCGGATCAGGACGTCAGGAGTTGGAGACCAGCCTGACTGATAACGGTAAAACCCTGTCTCTACGAAAATAAGAAATTAGGCCGGGCACAGTGGCTGATGCCTGTGATCCCAGCACTTTGGGAGGCTGAGTTCAAGACCAGCCTGGCCAAGATGGTGAAACCTCATCTCTACTAATACGCAAAAAAAAGAAATAAAGAAAAAATTAATTGGGCAGGATGGCATGAACCTGTAATCCCAGCTACTCAGGAGGCTGAGGCCTCAGAGAATTGCTTGAAAAAAAAAACCAGCTGGGCGCAGCGGCTCACGCCTGTAAGCCAAGCACTTTGGAGGTCAAGGCGGGCGGATCACCTAAGGTCGGGAGTTCAAGACCTGCCTGACCAACATGGTGAGACCCCGTCTTTATTTAAAAAAAAAAAAAAAATCAGTGGCACGTGCCTGTTGTCCCAGCTACTCAGGAGGCTGAGGCAGGAGAATCACTTGAATCTGGGAGGTGCAGGTTGCAGTGAGCTGAGATGGTGTCACTGGACTCCAGCCTGGTCAAAAGAGTGAGATCCTGTCTCCAAAAAAAAAAAAAACAAGACGTCTCGCAGACTATTTGGCATGCCTTGGAAGTGAGCATTATGTCCTCCTCCTCCTCGGTGTTCTCTCCCTGGCTTCCCCAGCCTTCCAGGCCAGGCTGTGGGTCACTGCCTCTGAGGAGCCTTCCTGGACTCTGCTGGAGATGGTCAGGCGCCTCCCACTTTCTCTTTAGCTTTTGACAGCCCTGCCTTAAAGGCAGAGCGTGAATTCCTATTTCGCAGGGGTGGAAGCTGAAGCTTGGGGGTGGTCAAGACTGCTGCCTAAGCTCTCGAAGCTGGGCTCCGCACCTCTAGGGCAGGTCCAGCACCAGGTGTGTTTCCTGGGCGGACACACCCAGGTTCCAGCGCTGACCTTGGCATCCTCATCTGTGGGCTTAGATAAGGGCCTCCCAGCCTCCAGTTCGCCAGGGTTGTCCCCACCCAGGGCCTGACTCAGCTGCCTGAAGCTCTGGCAGTTCACGTCCCTGCTCAGAGACAGCCCAGGCTGGGGGCTTCGTTCTGCTGGGACCTGGGTGGCCTGCACTCCTGGGAGGTCTCTTCTGGGTGGGTATGGTAGGGGAGGGTCAGGTGGCCCCCTCTGTTGGGGCAGTCGCTGCAGGCATGCCTCATGCCCCTGAGCCACAGTGGTGGCTAGGAGCTGTACTGGTAGTTGAGGCCGCCCTGCCCCGGGACAGTTAATCAGCCTGAGCTCTGTGCCTGCTTGGGACTTTTTTTTTTTTTTTTTTAAGAGTCTGGCTCTGTTGCCCAGGCTGGAGTGCAGTGGTGACATCTCAGCTCACTGCAACCTCCGCTTCCTGGGTTCAAGCGATTCTCTTGCCTCAGCCTCTTGAGTAGCTGGGATTACAGGTGCCATTATTACACCAAGCCAGAGAGAGAGAGAGAGAGAGTGTGTGTGTGTGTGTGTGTTTTAAAGATGGGGTTTCACCATGTTGGTCTAGCTGGGATTACAGGCATGTGCCACCACACCCGGCTAATTTTGTATTTTTAGTAGAGACCAGGTTTCTCCATGTTGGCTAGGATGGTGTCAATCTGTTGACCTCGTGATCCGCCCGCCTCGGCCTCTCAAAGTGCTGGGATTACAGGCGTGAGCCACGGTGCACAGCCGGTCCCAGGAGTCCTACCTCTCGTCCAGGGCGTGGCGGGCCCAGCCCGTGCCGTCCCGGCGGCTGCCTCCTCTCCAGGTCTTTTGTTCGTTTTTCATCAGAGGTTGTACTCTTAGAGGGACAAGCCAAGGCTGCATTTATCTTTTACCCTGGAGACAGTGGAGTGTTTGTGGCCCTGCTGGGCTGCACAGGCCTCATGGTCCTGGCGGCGCATGGTGTGCGTGTCTGGAGGGCCCAGCGAATCGGCTACCGTGGGCACCACCTCGAAGCTTTGCAGTCAGGGCTCCCCCTGCACCTCCGCTTCTGTGCTGTGTTGCAGTTGTGAGCTTCAGGCAGTGCTAGGGCTGCTTCAACATACCCTCCAAGGCCACTGTCCGGAGTTACACTGGGTGCTGGTCCCCCATCTGTGGGGTGCCCCGGTGGCTGAGGCATGAACTGGGTAGGGCATCACGAGAAGTAGCGCCCACAGCCCACGGTTGCACAGTGATTCAGACCACGTCCCTGTCTGCGGGAGGATCTGTCCACACCTGTGGGAATGTGTGGTCCGGGTGGGCCTGGTGTTCAGGATTATCCAGAGTCATGTTCAGATCATCTGAGGTGAGCTCCAGCACCATCTCAGGCGCGGTGGCTCACACCTGTAATCCCAGCCCTTTGGGAGGCCTAGGTAGGCGAATCACCTGAGGTCAGGAGTTCGAGACCAGCCTGGCCAACATGTATTTTTAGTCTCTACTAAAAATACAAAAAGTAGCCGGGGGTGGGGGTGGGCGCCTGTAATCCCAGCTACTCGGGAGGCCGAGGCAGGAGAGTCACATGAACACAGGAGACACAGGTTGCAGTGAGCCGAGATCGCACCACTGTACTTCAGCCTGGACCACAGAGTGAAACGGCATCTCAAAAAACAAAAACAAAAAAACAACGTGTGCTGTGCGTGCTGGCTCACGCCTGTAATCTCAGCCTCAGGCCTGCGATATGAATCGGTGGGAGCAGAGGGCCGGCCGGCCGGCCCAGTGGTTTGGGGATGCTCAGGTGGGGTGGATGGCAGAGATCTGGGACCCAGAAGCACCACCCCCCAGGGGCTGTGAGCAGTCCCTGCAGGCTGCCTATCCCCGCCCCTGCCTCTCTGCTCTGTTGTCTGCCCCCCAGGGCAGGCTTCCCTCTGGTGAGGAATCCTGAGAGCCAGGGACCCCGCCAGCCCTTCCTCTCCCCTGGAGGCCCCCACTGCCTCCCATCCTCACCTGGGCCAGTAGCAGGGATGGTCATGGTGCTGGTGATGTCAGGCAAGAGGTTCTCACCCGATAGCCACCTTGGCACAGTGCCTGGCAGTGAGGGATGTTAGCAGGAGCCCCGGGGATGTTCCCAGCTCCTCCTGCCAGCCCCATTCCAACCAGGGCCTCCTCTGTGACTGAGTAGGCAGGGACACCCAGGTGGCTACCTGCCCCACCCAACAGCTGGGGCCCACCACGGCTGCAGGAACATGGTCAAGGGATGGGAAGCCAGGCCTGCGGGGGGAGGGCTGCGCTCCAGGGCTTAGGTTCCGTGGCCTGTGCTCCGAGGCCTTTCTTTTCCCAGCCCTTGGCTGACTGGGGCGGGGGGCAGGGGGAATGTTTACAGAAACCACCCGGAGGTGGGCATTTGGTGTCAGGGCCAGATTGTGTCCTGTTCTGGGAGGTGGCCCCGTGTCCCCCACACGTGGCATCCCCCATGTGGTGTCCCCCACATGTGACATGCTTGCTCTCTGTCCCTGCATAGCAGACTGCGCATCTGCGCACTTAAAACACCACCAGCTCCTGGTTCTGTGGGTTGGGGCCTGGGTGTGACGTGGCTGGGTCCTCTGCGTGGGGTCTCACCAGGCTGGAACCCTGGTGTCAGCCAGGGCTGTGTAGTCATCTGAGGGCTCAGCAGGGGAGACATCTGATTCCAGCTCACGCAGGTGTGGGTGGAATTGTGTGCCTTGTGGCCAGAGGACCAAGGGTCACGCTCAGTTCCTGGCCACGTGGCTCTTCTGTCTGGAAGCCAGGCACTGCCTGTCGACGGCTTGTGCTTCCAGGCTCTGGCATCTGGAGATCCAGAGATCACATCAGTGGTTGCCTGGGTTGCTGTGTGTGCTGTGGGTAGTTAGACAAGTTTTCTCTTGGAGGTGATGGAATGTTCTGGAATTTTATAGTGGTGATGATTGCCCAACCCCAAGCATACTAAGAGCCACAGAATAGGACACTTGATTGTTTGTGGCGTTTTATGGTTTTGTTTTTTGTTTTTTTTCAGACAAAGTCTTGCTCTGTCACCCAGGCTGGAGGGTAGTGGTGTGATCTCGGCTCACTGCAACCTCTGCTACCCAGGTTCAAGCGATTCTCCTGCCTCAGCCTCCCGAGCAGCTGGGACTACAGGCGCCTGCCACCATGCCTGGCTAAATTTTTTTTGTATTTTTTTAGTAGAAACAAGGTTTCCCTTTGTTAGCCAGGGTGGTCTCCATCTCCTGACTGACCTTGTGATCCTCCTGCCTCAGCCTCCCAAAGTGTTGGCATTACAGAAGTGAGCCACCATGATCAGCATTTTTTTTTGAGACAGCATTTCGCTCTGTCACCCAGGCTGGAGTGCAGTGGCACGACTGTAGCTTACTGAAGCCTTGAATATCCAGGCGTGAGTGATTTTCCGTTTCAGCTTCTTGAGTACGTGAGACCTGAGAGCCACTGCTGTGCACCACCATACCCAGCTAATTTTTTGATTTTTAGTAGAGATGGGGTCTTGCTATGTTGCCCAGGCTGGTCATGTACTCCTGGGCTTAAGTGATCCTCCCACCTCAGCCTCCCATAGTGCTGGGATTACAGGTGTGAGCTGCCACACCTAGCCATTAATTGCACACTTGAAAATGACCAGTCTTGGCTGGGTGCAGTGACTCACACCTGTAATCCCATCATCACTTTGGGAGGTTGAGGTAGGTGGATCATGTGACTTCAGGAGTTGGAGATCAGCCTGAACTGTGGTGAAACCCCGTCTCTACTAAAAATACAAAAAAATTAGCCGGGCGTGGTGGCGCGTGCCTGTAATCCCAGCTACTCGGGAGGTTGAGGCATAAGAATTGCTTGAACCCAGGAGGTAAAGGTTGCAGTCAGCCGAGATCATGCCACTGCACTCTAGCCTGGGTGACTGGGAGACCCCGTCTCAAAAAAAAAAAAAAAAAAAAAAA